TCTAGTCTATTTTTCTAGAATAACAGGCATTGCGAAGGACAGAACAGAATTTTCTAGTAATTGATCTTCTAATTTGCTTTTAGCCTCTGGAATTCCAGAAGATTTTGACCGTTGATGTGATTCTTTATTTCTCAGTTTAACTGTTCAATTTTGTTATTGATCCCTAACTGGATACACCAAGCCTCTGACCACAAAAATTAGTGCAGCAGACAAGAAACATTAAGATCATTAAAATGATCATAAGTGAATTTTAACAAAGAAATTCACAAAATCACTAAGAGAATCCAGGCTCATGTCTGAGATACTGAAAGCATCATGCAAACATCAAAACAGAAAATCTTACTAATGTTATTTCTACCTGTTAATTGCACAAAAACAGGCTTCCAAGCTGACTGTTCAAAGATGTCTGAGTGATTCTTTTGTCTTTTTATGCTCATAAGCATTGAATTTCAAGTATGAGAAAAGTTCAGTATCTGAAATTTTTCTTACTATAGTCCTCTTCCTCCCTGTGTGTACTTCAAGAGTCTTTCAGATGGTTTCTTTTAAATACTAATGGAGGTATCATTAACATTTTCCATTTAAACAGTCCAAAGAATCTTTGAATACCTTTTAAAAATCTCAATAAAATTACTCTATGTAACTGGGTGAGAGGTTGTTTTTTCCTTTTGATGATATCCTCCAGGCAATAGATGAAAACAATGTATGTTGAATAGTGCTGGCTTACTGCAGTTGTCTAGTCATGGTACAAATGCAGCAAATTTCTGAACTACTTTATCTGCTTGGAAAGGGGAAAAAGTCTGTAGACTAACCTGTTAAGAAGACAACAGTTCAAAGATCAGCAGATCTAATAAAATCTTGCAAGGACACAGTTTTTGTATGTTATCATGGTGAAGTTTGGTTTTATTCTAAAAAAAAGATAACAGGAGAAATAGATTGAAAATGAGTGATGAAATTCACTACTTGCCCATTGATATAAAATTCCATCACTCTGGATCACATAGTTTTTTTATTATCATGACATGTTTTATTATTTTTTGAGTGACACTGTAAATTGAAACAGTGTTTCCAAATTAATTAAAAAACAGCCCTCTCCTAAGAAGGTGACAATGTCATTTGGATAGGTGGTAAAGCAGCAGCACATGGTTAATGAAAAATTATATAATGGAACCCAATAATGGAAAATTCCTTAGAATAAATGTTTTTGATGGAAGGAGAAATTTACAGAAACAGGAAAGAGTGCAAGTGAAACCAAGTCATAGATGACATCTTAGACAATGACCAATGTGGAACAGCCTATCTAGACCTTATTATATAGTATTTGAAAAGTAGTTGCTCTTCAAGATTTAAAAGCCAAATAAAAGCCAAATCTGAGTGCTTTGAGAGAAAAATGCACAATCAGATTAATCTGGAGAAAATTATACACTAATCTGGGAAAAGGTATAGTTTGTGGTTAAAATATGGGAATCTGAGATGAGATGTTGAACCAAAAAAACCTGGGATTTAAGTGGTAAAAGACAGTACTGGAAGAGAAGAACAAGGCTAGGAGCAAGGAGACAAAAGAATAGATAAAGATTTGAGAGGAGGAGGAAAAGTAAGGAATAGAGAGGAATAGAAAACAAAGATGCTATTTTTAATAGGACTTTAGAATAAATTTTATTTTGTAACCAGAAGAACTGAACCCTTCATCTGCTGCTGAACTTGTCCTGCTTGGATGCTTCTTTGCTGTCTTTGGATTTTGTATCCATATATTACATATGCTGCGGTCCAAAGTTATAAGTGAGCACGCAGTTATGCCTGCTTTACCCCTGGAATTTCTTTTATGCAGAAAGATTTTGTTTAGACTAGCTTTCTGCCCAGTCTTGGAGCAGAGCAAGATAATTTGAGTATCAATTTGACCTGGCACATGTCTTGAGAGAATCATCAGAGCACACCATAGAGCAAGAAGTGTCTCTTGTCTTGTGTTTATCTGCATGTATGTAGCAAAGCAACTGATGAATTACCTCTCTTCAGCCACCACCACAAAAGAAGAAGTTCAGGTAAGGTAAGTGAGGGCAACTGACTGTGCCAACATCATTAAGGGAAAAAGCAGTGAACTTTTGGCACAGAACCAAACAGCTTGCAAGAGAATGGGGATTAAAAACCCATATGCTTGCTCAGCCTGAGTGGTTTGACTGGCAAGGAAGCAAAACAACAAGCTCATCCCATAGGAAGAGAGGACAAGACGGTCAGCAAAGCAGCCAAAGGGTCATTTGGCATTTCAGAGAAGGTGATAAAGGGGCAGTGTAATGGCCCAGTAAATTTTACTGGAGGTCAGAGACAGAAATCCTGATTGCCCATTCCAGCTCTCTCTTGGGTTTATTTACTCTGTGACTGCAGGTTGGTGTTTCTTCCTTTTTGTCTCCTTGTCTTCACATCAGCAAAATGTGAATGATGATATTAATAGCTTTTGCAAGTATTTTCTGATGCTTAATTCAGTAATACTGTTGAAAAATGCGAAGGCATCTGGAAGCATTATACACTTTTAACCCCCTTGTTTGTACATTAGAAAGCCTCTGTGTATGACTGTTACATTCAGTGTACAGATGGGAAGTTTGGATTGTAATTAATTTCATAAAGCCAGCAGCATGACCATTTTCAAGCAATATATAGAACAAAGGCATTAAGCCTGCCTTGTACATTCCTTGGAACTGGTCCCTGAAGTCCTTCAAGCTCCTTTGTGTGTGGATGGATGGACAGGGAGAGAGAGGGAGAAATATTTGCAGACACAAGGGAAAGACCATGAGAGAGACTTCATACTATGTACATATATACAGTGCCTAATAATATAATTTTTCTTTCATCATAGCAAATTATCCCACTTAAATCCTCTGGTTTGTGTATTACAGTACGGAGAGGTAAAATGGAGAAAAAGGAGGAGGAAAATTATGATTTAATAGTAATCTGATGTCAGTTTTCACCCAATATGGCTAACAGTTCTTAAGTGTGCTTACATTCAGGAGGAGAGGGATGGACTAAGTTAAGGCAGAGTGTATCTCTCTGAATGTATTTATACTCCTTACAAATTGCAGAGTGACAAAACATGAGGCTGAAGTGGGGACATGAGGCAGTGGGGCAGGGTGTGAGGTGGACCATGCTCACGTGATACAAGTTTCTTTTTCAATTTGTTTTTCCTTCATCTCACCTTTTAGTTTTGCACTTTCCTTCACCTGCTCTTTTTTTAATTTTTTGCCTGTTGCTCTGTCTGAACTTGGAGGAGCTGAAGGAATGCAGTGCCAATGAGGGGCTTGTTGAACTCACTTTGCAGGGGAGGGCTCTGTGTATAGGTTAGAGCGGAGCTTCTCAACCTTTCCTTCACCACAGACCCCCTTTAAGTACCTTTTGTGGCTGCGGACCACCAAGACTTAATTAAAGATTTAAAGCACTAGACTGCATCAAATATTTCTTTCCATTTTCTCATACGGGGTCTTCAAATTTGGAGAGAAGGGGAATTAAGTTAATCTGTTAATGCACACACTCCTATTATAATTTAAAATAATATCATCAACACTCTTCTTGCTCAAATGTCAATCTTATGGTATTTTAACATTCTAATCATGAATTTGATGCCAATTTTTACATTAAAATTTGCTGAAAAGTTTTTACAATTCTTCTCACCTCCCTCCCTTGTTTGTCTTTGTTCAGTCATCATATAGTTTTGTTTACAGGTCCAAGGACACCACTTGGAGGAGCAGATTCCAGCCCTGTTGTGGCCCTAAAGAAGGGCCGTTGGGTTAAGAAAATGTCTTTTAAGAGAAAAAAAATGCCTAGTTAAAGCAGGTCCCATCAACCATACTAGCACAGCATATACTAGTGTGTCAGGACAGGTAGGGGGTGCAGGGAGAGGGGTGGCAGGGAGAGGAACATTGAGGAGAGGGGACTGTGGGAAAAGGAGGTGCAGCGTTTGCCCTGGGCCAGACCAAATGTTTCCGGGCTGGACGTTCCCCACTCCTGCTTTGAGCCTTTGCAGTCCCCTTGTGACAATGTCGCAGCCCCTCAGGGGTCCACAGACCACAGGTTGAGAACCACTCAAACCAGGGTTAGAGAGACGCTAATGAGGCATACATGATGTCTGAGGTTTTTGTCTCATTGCCATGGCAAGCCAGATTTCTTCACATGAGCTGGCTGCATTCATATCAAGGAAGAGGCTTTCAGTTTTAATGTATCCTAAAATTTCTCCACCACACTTGACCTGGTTGCTCTGAAAGCTGTACCCCAGCCTGCTCTCAATCTAACTATCTACAATTCATCAGACACCCTAAGCTGCAAGTTTTTTCAGGGTATTGTTTTGGTTACAGGTTCTTAACTGCTGCTCATCTCCTGCTGATATTGCACAAAACCTGCCAAAAGTCTTATTTTGTAGATAAAAATGAAACTGGATTCGTTTCCAGACATTCTGTCAAGAAATTGTACATCACAAGCTCCAAAAACCAAGAGTTTTTTCCATGACCATTTCTGCACAGGCATTTGTCTACTTTTATCCACATATGGTTTGTTTTTCTGACAAAAATCAAATAATTCAAATGTACATTTCAAATGAGCATGCTTAACAGCCAGGAAGAGTTGCTTTGTTTTACACATGGCTTCTAGTGGTTCACTGTGCCTGGACATTTTTTTTTCCTATTAGCACAAAATCAGAGAAATAAGCAGGACCATCAATTTTCATTTAATTTGGCATTTCTTTTTAAATTATTTTCTGTCTGAAGGTGTTGATCTTGCATAGTTACTATTCAAATCAATATGCTCATGTGCTGATTTAAATGGTAATGTTAATGTTAAGTAGGATAATATCTCAACCCCACACTGTTCACTGATCTGCAACATCCAACATCTTTATCTCCTCCTCTCTCTGCAGCACTGCAGTGATAACACCCACCATTGCCATTAAGTAGGATAATATCTCAACCCCACACTGTTCGCTGATCTGCAACATCCAACATCTTTATCTCCTCTTCTCTCTCCAGCACTGCAGTGATAACACCCACCATTGCCAATCAGATATGAATATAGTAGGTGCTTGGAAGAGAGGTTACACTGGAAAGAATGTTGTGGTCACCATCCTGGATGATGGCATCGAAAGAAACCACCCAGACTTGATGCAGAATTATGTAAGTGTTCACAGGAGTCTAGATTTGCTGCTTTATTATTACTCCAAATAGATTTGCTGCTTCTGGAGAGATGGAGGGAGGGAAGGAAGGAAAGATGAAGAATCATACAAGAGTTTCCTCAAACGTTAACACCAATAGGAGGAAAGAAGACAATTTTTGGTAATCTGTATTGTTTTAGTTAAGACTATGTTCCATCTGAAGGTATTTAATATCTGGATGCCTCTTGTAGCTGAGTTCTGAATTTCTGAACAACTGGAACCAACCATTGGATGCTTTTTCTTTAGTAATTTAACTTAATATGCTCACACTTTCAGAACTTAGAAATGGAATACACTGCTTTTCAGTTAATTCATGCAGCTGGAGTCACCATCCCTGGATGTGTTTAAGGGTCATTTAGATGAGCCGTTGGGGGATATGGTGTAGGGGAGAACTCTGTAGAGTAGGGCTGATGGTTGGATTGATGATCCCCTTGGTCTTTTCCAACCTGAATGAGTCTGTGATTCTGTATAACCTCAGTCCCAGTACAGATCTAGATCTTGTAAAAAAGCCCTGAACACAGGCTTTTTGCCAGTGAGCGTATCATCTTGACAGAGCATTGAAGAGATGGTGGTGGCAAAAACATCTTTAACAACCTATCAAAATCTACATCATGTCCATAGTTTAAAGCTGTTTATTTTAAATTAGCCATACTTGCATCCATATCCTTCCCCATGTTGCATGTGGAACTCAGCTTTGAAATACATGAGGAGGACTCTACAAACACAAGTGACGGGGAATTGCCCTATTAGTCAATGTATGCTTAATCCTAATGCATGCCACATTGTTCATTTTAATACCTTAAATTATTTAAACAAACCAAATATTACCTCCTCAATGAATAACCCAGATTGTGTCACATGTCATGTCATCCCAGTACTGTCCTTCCACTGAATTTAAATCAGTTTATTTCCTTACCACCTCCTCTTTCCCTTTCCTCACACCAACAAGAAATTCCCCCCCACATATTGCTTCTTTGATGACAAATGCCTTCTATATGTCAGATTTTTGCTGGTGTGGCTGCAAACGGGAATATTTGAGGTGAATGTGGTAACTGGTTTTGAACAAAGAAGAGATTAGAAAGAGCTGCTTGCCATATCAACACACCGCATGCTACTGCATCGATTAATGGGAACCATACAAATGAACAATTATTTACTCTATAAACTATTTTCAGCTGTAAGAATCCTGGTAAATGTAAAATATGGAACAAAAATACAGAGATACCTTGCAAATATTTGGAACAGTTACACTCCCAGGGAAATGGCAATGCAGTTTATGTTGTATTTCAAGCTGTATTTTTATAACAGTACTCTTAAGAAAATGTTATTATTCTTATTCCTTGAAACCATGACTAAAATTTCAGTCATCATGCAAATATTTTCTCGAGTCTTTAAATACCACTTTCTGTTTCCGCTCTGACACTGGAAATACGCTTTTTCAAAGTATTTGTTATCCTTCTCCCTTTTGGAAAATAAAATAAAATATGTAAATCCCATAATTATTAAATATATAATCCTTTCCTAAAACATGCAATCATCATAAAACCACAGGAATGTTAGTTAACCTAATTACTCTCTTGTAGAAACCTGCTGAAGAATGTATAGGCCAGATGATTCAATGGCTAATTAATGAGAAACTGGTTTTCTTTCTCCTGTTGGCTATAGGATTCACAGGCCAGTTTTGATGTCAATGGAAATGATTTTGACCCTATGCCTCGATATGATGCCAGCAACGAGAACAAGTAAGGCATTACAGCATTCATGAAATTTTCAGTCTAGTTTGTTAATTAAAAACTACCAGTTTTTCTATGAAAGTCTAGGAAACTTGATTTCTTATAAAGCAGTGTGATTTGCATTTAAATCTTTGTGAAATACATATTTATGTCTCTTCTGTACACACTGCATGACACTCTTTGAAAGCATTTGAAGCCACCCAAAACCACATAAAAGTTAGTTTGAGAGTTCTGGTCATGTGAAATGAACCATTTTCAAACCCTTTGGGATGCAGAGTATAAGAGGTGGTTTAGTTTTCTCAGATACCATCTCATTGTGTTACTGGGGGATTATTATGTGTGACAACTGTTTTGGCTTCTGACTTCCTTGAACTTTTAAGTCTTTGTGTATTGAAGAAATAGACAAGTTAATGGAGGTTTTTTTTTCCTCTCTAATAATGTATTTTAAAGTAATGGAGGTGTTACATGTGGAGGTTTGATAGAAACCTTATAAACCCAGAAGTGGCAATTCTGCTGGATTATAATTTCTGTGTCACGTGAGTGGTTGGATATATCTCCATGAATGACATACTTCTCCTTCAGAGCTCTGCTTCCTGATATTTGTCATTCCAGCTCTGCTCTTTGGATGTGCTGTGGTGAAGGCTGGGGGAGACACTGGGAAGGACTCTTCACCTCAGGAAGCATGCCACCTTTCTACCCCCATGGGTATTTGAGGGCAGTTATTTGTTGTTAACATTTTTATAATCAGGTACTTGGCGGAAAGAAATACCTTTCTGTGGAACTGCATGAATTAGAGGAAGGAGAATCCTACTCCATGTCAACATGCTGACTGTCCATTTTGTTTACTTGAGGTTTGGCTGGCTTTTTTTCATTGTGGAAAGCATTAGTATTGTTTACCTGCAGAAGAGAGATTACAAGAGGTGAAACTTCATCCTTTACAGAACTGAAATATGTTTGGCTTTGTGTTGTCTCTTCCCTACAATGTCACAAACTTTCTCCAGAAGAATGCAGCAGGTGCAAGCTGGGAATCAGCAGTAAAACTTAACATTGGTTTGACTGGAGAAACCAATTCAAGCAGCTTTGGATCACATTGTAATGGGAGAATCCTCTCCTGGTCAATGCCGTCTTCATAACAGCAGGGAACCATGTATGGACAGGCAGAGCAGTACCTTCTTACACATAGCTGCCTGTTACATATATCCACTCGTGTTTTACAATGAATCTCAAGGAGCTGTCATAACTACTTTCAGCCATCGGGTGAAATAACTGTGAAAGATGAGGTGAATTCTGCCAAGTACTTTTTTGGTCAGTCAGTCTGATCCTGCCTGGTAGACCAAGATGAGGAATATGTAAGGATTTGGCTCTTAGAAGCTATATAACTAAATGTGGATACACACACACACACACACATCTTGGTTGTGATGACTAGAAATACCGTTTAAGATAGAAAAATATTATATTGGCATTAATTTGAATAATAATAGGAGTTTTTTTGGACTGCAATTATGGCATATGTTCTCATTCAGTTGTTTTAAAATGATGCTGTTTACATCTGCCAACTATTTTTGTCTAGAAACGAGTACATGCAAGAGCTGTTTCTTTGCCTTTTCCCATTAGGCGTATCTTTCTCAGCCTATTTTCACAGAGGCTCAGTTTGCTGAATTTTATCTGCCTCTTCTTCACTATCAATCTCCTAAAAGAAGAGTACCATAAGAGAATAAAGAGAAATTCAGTAAAACCCATTGTTTTGAAATGTGTAAACATTCTGCACATGATGACTAGTTTAAGCAAAAAGAAAACACTAATGTGGAACAATTGTGAGATAGACCTGGTTGCTGCGTTACCTCAATTAAGTTAGCAGCAAGCTGAGGATTTCAGAGCTAGATGCTTGTACGGAAAATGCTGATATTACACTGAAGTTGTTAGGACATATCCCCAAGACACACGTTCACTGAAACAGAAGAGTTAATAAAAGTCTATTAATTCTTACTCTTTCCAAAACTTTTTATTTTTCTTACAATTGAGAAATTTGATATGCCATTATTATTTCAGTTTTAGAGGTGTCCTGTCACTGATGTAGAAAAGAATTTACGAATGTGCTGTATATATTTGGTGGCTAATAAGAGAAATCTTTCATTGGGCTTATGAGAGGTCTCAGGACACCAAGTAAGGTTTATAAAGATGCTAGTTACCTGAAAATGGAGTAGGAACATAGGAACATAAACTGCTTACAGCCCAGAGTATGTAGGCATTGCCACTCAGCATACTGCAACAACTGATTTATATGACTGATCACTTCAGCATCAACCCTAGCTTTGAACTAGGTCTCTGTATTATAGCCCCATATAAAGTGTTGGAAGAGCAAAACTGCAGCTGCATTGTTACCACAAAAGGCTGGTCACCACGACTCCTTACCTCATGGATGCTTTTTCCTCCTTTCCTCAGTCTTTGTGCAGCTTTCCAGAGAGAATCATGCTGAAAACTGTGCTGCCAACAAGAGCAACAACAAATTGCATTTTCAACCAGGTCAGGCAGGTACCTCATTCAGCTCAGCCTGAGGTCAGAGGAGAATGAGACAGTCACAAGTGGGAAAAATGAAGCATGGCCTGAACCTCTCACTGACAATGTCGGTTTTATTGAAGTGAGGTGACTGTATGACAGTGCCCCAAGTGCCTACAACTGTTGTCCAAAAAACTGAGTGTGACAGACAAGCTGTTGTTAGCAGTGGCCTCCAAGGAGTTTTGAGAAAAGATGTGACAGTCACCCTTGTCCTCTGTGAATACTCCTCAGCTGAGCTGCTGGTTTGCATCACATGTCCCTCTCCCCTGCTGTTCACCAAACCCTATTGCCACATACACTGTATGGGACATATCCGGGCTCATTTGCATGAAGATGCTCCTTTCCTTGGAGTCAGGGCATGGCTGGGGTACACTTGGAGGCCTTCCAGTTTAGGTGCCCTTTCAGGGGTTTTCCCTCTTTGGTGCTGCAAGGAGCCACACCTCTAGCTGTGAATCACAGCTGAATCTTCTCTGGCTGGGTACTGTAGTCCTCACTTTCTTAAAGAACGTGTCCAGAGAAGGAAAGCTGCTTTCTGTTTTGTTGCTAGTTAAGAATTTTATATGAGATCTAAAACTAGAATGATTAATTGGTCTCCTAGGGCTGGGTGATTTGAATTTCCATACCCTGCCTCCCTGGTGAATACTCTCACTGCCCAAGCCCTAAGGTCCTGTGGTGAGATGTGGTGGTGGGAGGGCAGATACTGTGCTGTACTTAGCTTTGTCAGGTTATAAGGAGGTACAGCATCAGTGTAGATCCAGCTTTTGGACACAGAGGATACATGAAGCATGCTTTCAGTGCAAGACTACTTGGCAGACTAACCTCCTCGTAGAGGCTCAGCATTTCCAATTAGCAGGTACACTAAGCCTGGTAAGCAGTACCTAAGCACCTTCAACTTTTAGGGCAGTCAGTCTTCCTTCCCTAGTTCCTGCTGTACTCAATAAGAATTGAAAGGCTACATAGGTAGCACTACTAGTGCTAGTACTAAATCACTACTAGTACTAAAGCACTACTAGTAGCCTGTCTATATTTTTATGTGTCTAAAATATCTTCAGAATTTTGGGCAGAAATTCTGATTATCCAGCATATGTGGTCATTCAGTACTAGATACTCAAGTTGTGCCTGGAAGTGGAGGTAACTAAAACCACTGAATGCTCTGAAAACCATGGTTTGCAAAGGCTTACTAATATGCAAGATCAATTTGGTTGATTCCAGCTTCCTGCTATAGCAACTGGACAACATTGCATAACAGTGATTTGTGTCTTCCAGTAAAGATCAGATGTACAAATGTACCATCATTTCGTGAAATGATGTAGTTTATTTTGCCTCGTTTTATAACCCAACCTGAAGGGATGGAATGATAGAGTAAAAAGAATTGCTGTAAAAATAAGCAGGTATCTCTCTGCAGCTCTGCATGCGGCTGTGAAACATCAGGGTACTGGTTCTGTTTGCTAGCTTTTTACTTTTAATTAGTAGTGAAAGCTTTATGTTGCTGAGGCTTATCGGTGAGGAAAAAGGAATGAGAAAAAGATTAACTGGGTGCTTGTGGAGTGACTGTAGATAACCAGAGTGGCACTTTCCAAAATAGTATTTTTGAAGTTTTACATTAAATCTTCTATTAGCTAAGGAAAACACAAGGGTAGACAGAAACATTAGACTAATCTTTCAAGGCTTGTAGTCAAAATCAGGGTGGGATGATAGTTTCTTTAACTACTATGGTATGTAGGAGTCCTGCCAAAAGTTTACTTCGGTTTCTACAAATTGGCAGCAAGTCATGAAGCTTGTAAATGGCACAGGCCTATACTAGAGCTTCTTTTTGCTCAGAGGCTAAAGACAGCAGTCAGCTGTGAATGAAGTCATTTCTGCTATGCAAAGCATCTTGTTTTGGTTTACTGCTGAGTATCACTACTTTATTCTTTTTCTGTTATTCCACCATTACCTGTAAACATCTATGTTGAAACAACTAGACACTATCTGTCACAGGTTCTTAGAGAATGCAGGTGGGATCACTTGAAATGGTATTCTACCCATGGCACAGCCTTAAAAATAAACCAGAAATGTTCATAGTATTAAAACAGTTTGCCATTTTGACCAAACAAAAATAACTTTTTCTGTTTCATGAGAAATTTCAGGGATGATATTTCAGAGCTTAGGTCTTATTCTGCCAACAGGTACTTCTATGAAACAGAGGACCTTTTAAAAAAAACTCCTTTAAATAATGCTAGTTGACTTTAGTAAAGTTCTTATTAAACTTCTGTAAGAAAAAGTAAAAGTAAGCTGTCATTTCTGTTTTGGAGGTTTTGGAGATACTGAGTCACTCTTTGGATGCCTTTTCAACATTTTCAGTGATTCATCCCACTACATAAATAACTTATTTTATTAACTTAATTATTTTTAATGGGTGTAAGATTTTTGGGAGACAACACTTACTGCTGTTCAAAAATCATAAGAAA